ATGTGCTAATGTGATTATCCTGACATACTACTGCAGAGTCCTTCTGCCTCGTATGCCGGAGGATTTATCCCTGAATGTAATTGTTTTAATTAATCGGAATAGGTTCTTGATATGATGAAAGCTGTTTTTTTTCATGAACTAGCTAATAAGTGTCCCAGTGTAGATTAAGAAGATTAAGATATGTGCAGAGATGGCAGAGATGCCCCACCATCTACTTGGACGTAGATTTAAGTGGGTCACTGATCACAGGACTAGTATATTAAATTATTAAAGGTTCAATGATACACAGATATTTATTCAATATGATTAAAAAGTAGGTTGATGCTTACTCAAGTTGCATTTTTACTTAGAAAGCTTTCTTTAAAAAGTTGCACATTCCATTCATATATAGTTGCAAAATATTAGAAAAATCCATCAGACTTGAAGATATGACTTTTTTATTCTTTGTATCTTCTTAAATGTAACAATCAAACAACAATTAAGACTGATTTAACTTGTATTGAGCCAGATTAAGCTTCAAAGGGATTCTCTCATCCTTGTGGGGTCAGGCAGGAGTCTCTTGGGCAATCTTAATAGGATATTACACTCTGTCTTATCATACTGATACGTGCCAGCTTAGGAAGTGTGGTTCTTACACTGTGTGGGCTGCCTGTGCCTAACAGAAACTCATTTATGTTTGATCTGACTGCTTGGCACAGATGTCAGGACGGCTGCTGTGTTTTTGTAGATTGACTAATTTTACTCTAGATAAATAACAAAGCCCACCATTTGACATCAATTCCAAAAATAGATTTTTGCGGGCAGCAAAAGTGTAAATGAGGCATCTTGTGATGTATATCTGGTTCATTTAGTTCATTTTTTTATTTTGGGCAAACGTTCTAATCACACATACTGTATTTTCATGTGACAACGTCATTATGTCCTGAGCTTCCAAGGTTAAATCCCTGCCTGTTATTCCCTCCTGTTATCCCATTCAGCTGCAGTGGAATGGTATAGGGGGGCCGAGATAGCTGCCAAGTCATGGAGAGAGTGCCATAATGACACATGAGACCCTCACTAGCACCCCGCTGTCAGTCAAGACTGCAGCCCTGCGCATGGTTGACCTACCGCTGTCCGTCTACAGCTCCCTGGCACAGGTGAGTGATGTGTGGGAGTGGCAGGTGTTGATCCACAGGTCTCCCTGGTGTCTGTGTGAAGGAACAATGTTCTTACAGGTTATTTCTTTAAATGCATTTTGTAGAATTATCAGTGATAAACATAGCAAGTATTTGATTAGTTACATGAAAATGTGTTTGAGGAATATTATAGGTGTTTGTGTAATTTTTAAGAAGAAATTTGTCGTTTCCCAAAAGACTTGTGCATCAGAAGGTGGCATTTGTGTCCCGGTGCTGCACAGTAAAGCTCCAGTATGTTCTGATCCAAGCTATAAACGGGCAAACAAACATCCACCAAGTAACTGTGAAATTTATACTGGAAACAGCAATTGCGCAAGTGAACAGCCAGACCTTTAGAAGTTGGATAACGTTCAGTGTTTGAGCATCAGGGCGGTGATCAAAGTGCACGATTGCAGTGTCATTTGCACGCTGTCGGTACAGAACTGAACCATGTGTAGTCACTAGGTTTGGCCTCAAGGAGATGTTTCTTTCTGGCTTTGTTTGCATTCGTTTGTGAGCCGGAGCGTGTTGTATGCATATGAGTAAAAGTAGTACACTGCGTTTTGGCTGTAGTTCCGATAATGCCTGATCCAAGAACGTGCTCATTTGTTTATTTATGACAAAGATTTGGTAACAAAATGTTTTTTAAAAAAGCCTATTACAAATTCATTGTAAATTACTTTATTGCAAAGTTGATATTTTCTAAAAAAGGGAATTATTGTATTTAAAAGTTTTTTTTAAAAATCATAAGACAAAAAACGGTCTAAGATACAAATGGCATTAAAGAGTTAAATGAAAGCAGTTTTTGGATGTGTGCATTATTTTCTTTTCAAAGTTTTGATTTGTGTTTAAAAAAAAAAGGGAAAGAAAAGAAAGACCCTTTAAATCAAAGCTATGACTCAAAATTGAATTAAGTAAATTAAAGTAAAATTTAATTTAAGCGCAGGGAAATTTTTTCATGTTTCTCACAAGGGATTTTCCTCCTGTTGTCTCTGTTTGCCGTTCTTTGTTTCCCTCAGGGCAACAATGGCTGGTATTTTCCATGCGTTGCCCACATGCTGCTGTGCTTCTGGGGGGTGTTTGCGTGGCCAGAGTCACGGAGCAGGTCTGATATTTTTAGAGCGCTCTGGTAGGAGCGTGTCTGATGTGTATGGCAGCAGCAGAGATGGTCTCAGATTGGACACTTTAGCACCCAACCCGTTCACTTCCCCCGCCAGTCGATATTCTGACCTCCTGACTGACTGTCTCTGTAATCTTTAGTCTCCAGGAATGTTCTGGACCGGGGTCTTTGTGGATAACTGCCTCATTCAGGGTTTCTAACTATAGGCCGAGGCGGCTTTGCCTGTCTGATAATGAGTCTATATGACAGGCCGGGAGCTGGTTCTCAGTCCTGGCTGTTCAGGGTTTGTCTGCCACAGTTTTCCAGCTTGCTTGGTTTTATTGTCACTGTTGTTTGAATTAGTGGCTGTTTGTGCAGAACTCAGCTGTTAGTTAGTATGCGCTCGGCTATTTAGAGAAAAAAGGGGCAGGTCTCTGTGCTTTGAAGGAGGCATTAGAGCCAGAGGATATGCTGATTTGCATTACAAATCTGAGCAAATGTGACACTGTATACATTCAGGATTGTGCTGGACTGTTGTTGATCCTTTGAACTTTAAAGGGATTGCATCATTTAAATATTTTTTTTTGAGGAAATATAAACTAAGCCTGTCAAAATGAGCAGTTTAAATGAGCTTTAGTTAGTTCCAATTTCGGAAAAAAATAATTAACTGTCCTCTTTTTCTCTCCTGAAGGTGAGTGTCAGCACAGGCACCAAGAAACTGGTGGCCGCCACCGCCTTCGGCACCTTCTCGCTCCTCCTCCTCGCTCGCCGCTTCCAGAGGAGAAAGGGCAGGAAGAAGGCTCTCTCGCCACAGTGGGAGCAGGCTGGCTTTGAGTTTTTCCCACCGGCTTCTGCAGAAAATGGTAAGACTACTGAACTCATTCGTTATTTGTCACGCTGTCTGCGAGGTGGCTTCTGTATCACTGTCGTCTCCAAATGAAGACGCTGAGTTCTGTGCGAGGGGCTGAGTTCTGTGGTCATTTTCTTTGGGGGGAAAATGTGTCGTTATACCCCGAAATACATCAATAAACAAAAAAAAAACTGAAAAGTCCCAAAAGCCATTTAACAGAGTAACTGACCGAACACACAACAAACTAAAGAGGCTCAATACTGGTGATCAAACCAGTTTGACCTGTAAGAAGAAAGCGAACGTGCACAAATATGAAAACCGGTTTGTTAAACGGTTACTTCAGATTCAGTGAGGAGTCATTCAAATGAAAGTAAACACTAAACATTTAATTACTAAATGAAAAATTACTACTGCATGGTGTGATTCTTTGGTTTGGTCCAAGAAGCACCAAATGACAGGTTTGTTATGATTTTACAGTGCGGATGCCACACTCAGTAACAAATCATTTATTTACTGAGACACAAAATGCCTTTTTTTTTCTTAAGCTGTTTTTGTAATTCCACAGAAATCTGCGACTATCTGGTGATAGTTTTCTGTCCAAGGCAAAACGAAAAGCAAACCCTTTGTAATTACTGATTTCTAAGTCACAGCATTTGATGCTGTGTGATTGCCCTCTAAACCAACCATGTGATCAACCATTAACAGCTGACCTGCGTTACTTATGTGCGCACATATTTGGTGTTTTTTTTTTTTAAACCAGTAAAACCAGTTTAATGCTATGAAAATGTTTAAGTGCTTTTTTTTTTTTTTTAAATCATCTGTTTCTTTGTGCTCTTGAACTGGCTTAGGAGTGTTTTGATTCTTCTTTTGAACTTCATCTTCTCAGACAACACCAGCCAAAACATCAGCATCTCCCTCAACTCCAAGAATGGATGCACCTCCGGCTCTGGTCTGGTTCTTACCACCAGAGATTACAAAAAGCTGTCTGGGTCTTTGCTGAGCCTGGCCTCGGTAGGAATTTCCTCTTTTTCTTCTCCGCCTTGGTTTGAGCAGAATTAGCCCAGGCGAACTGTTCATAGATCCACATAGACGTGTTTGTTTTGCTCTGTGGCTTCACGCCGCGGCAGCATGGCCCCACGATGCCCTGTGGCTAACTCTGTCTGTCAGGAGAACAGCGCCACCATAGGAAGGCATGAAATGCAAAAGCCAGTTCTGCAATAGCAACATGGTTTCTCGATATGAAGTGTGCTTAGCCTGATGTTAGCTCCGTTACCCAAAAGCCTTCTGTTGTCTTTGCAGGTAGAGAGCGTGAACTCGTCCAGCAGCAGCACCTGTGCTAATGACTCCACCTGTTGGGACGGAGTGGGCGATGCTGACGTCTGCAGCGTGGTCAACCTCTCCGTCACCACTCCTGAAAATCTTTACCTCATGGGTATGCACTCCTTCATTTTACTATGCTTGTTGTAAATGATGAATTCCTTTGACCTTTAATGTGGAGCTTGGCGCCCCATTGTACGGGGACGGGTGCCTGTCAAAACAAAAAATGGTCAAATTCATTTCTACAACCACCAAACTCAGTCCAAATGGCAAACCAGCAGGAGCACAAACAGGAAGCCTCATCGTCCTACCACCCAGATTCACTGAACCAACAGCAAAAGAAGACAAAAGTTGTGTTTGTTAATATCAGTGTAATTCTACTGGAATTAGTTATTAAAACAAGGAGTCAATCATAAAAATCACCAAATGGAAACAGTCATACCGTCCCAGATGATGTTAAGGATACATTTCAATGGCTAGATATATGTGGGGTAAATAAAGGTAATTCTTTACCTAATAATTGTAGATAATTCTTTCAAAACCATTCAAAATTCTTTTTTTTCTTTTTTTTCTTTCTTTTTTAAAGTATCATGATAAAGTGAAATTATTTGTGCAGGCGATTTTTCCACATACTTCATTGATCTGTCAAACTGAGGTTTGGACAGCTCTGTGACCGATCTCAGCATGTACGATGTTCCGTGATTCTTTGTGGTTTTATTCAGTTTTTGATTCACTGTCAGAAGTTTCTGAAGGTTTTATACACTGATACATTTCTTTAAAACTTCAAAAAAGGAGCCAAAGCAACAAGTTGCCCGTGTCTCCTGGCAGGTATGGATTTATTTGAGGAGGCCCTGCGGCGGTGGGAGGAAGCGCTGACGTTCAGGAGCAGACAAGCTGACGACGACGCCAGCTGCGCCTCCGTCAAAACGGGAGCCGGAGACGCCATCGCTGAGCAGAGCATGGAGGTAAAACACTCACACAGGGAAAGGGCCTTAGTTCGGTTCTCAGACCTTTTCGGGAGCCTCAGATCTAAAGTACGAAACGTCAGCTCAGGTCAGATTAGTTCCGCTGAGCAGCTGTTCAGAGATGGTCGAGAAGTAAAGTGTCATGGTGGTTTGGAAGAGAAAACTGTGCCCCAAGATGGAAACTGTTGGTGAAGCTGGACGATCTGCCACATTGTATCCCAACTTTGCGTCTCCAGGAGGTCATCAGCACAGAGTTCATCCACCGGCTGAAGTTTCTGCTGCAGCGGGCCTACCGCCTCCAGGAGGAGTTCGAGGGCGTGCTGGGAATGTCGGAGCCTTCCTCCCACAGCAACAGCCTGGGTGAGTCAGACACACGGGATTATTTGATGCTGCTTGACCAGTTTAGAGAGCCACACCACGATCCAAAGCCTGCAGAAAAACACCCGGTGAGCTGGTATTTAACTTCACGGGTTGAGACGACCTGATCAGATCTCACATGGCCAACTGGATGTTCACTGAAAATCGAGTGCTGTCTGCTTCAAATTTCCATAAATGAGCGACTTGTTGGATCTGTTTATGTGCAGAGAATGCCAGGCGACAGAAAGCTTCCAGTTAGTTGAAACGTTTTGGTTTATTTGTCCTTCAGAGGATACAGAAGGTGACAAACACGCTGCTTAGTGCAGAGCTGCTCTTAAAAGTCCTCTTTGCAACCTTCTTAATAATCTATGAAGACCCCTTTTAAATGTTTTAAAAGAGAAGGATTTACTGGTTTCTATGGCTTCATGAACCAGCTACACACCTGCTTTTTGTTTTTTAATGTTTAACTGGGAAAGATGACCTTTCATTTTGTGTACCTTTTTTGTACCTCAGATCATATTGTGGACCTTTTGGCCAGAGAGGAGCTGGACGACCCCTGTGTGAGGGACAGCATCAGCATCGCCTCCACTGACTCTTTTGTGTCTGCTGCTGAGGTGAGAGGAGACGAACCAGCTTCAGAAACGGGCCGAGTCACTTCACACACAGCAAAAATGCACCATTTTCGAATATTTCATTGTATTTCCCGCAAAACATCTCCTTTTCTGACACAAACACCTCTGAATTAACTCAGGAGCTTTTCTATTGACAGATACATTTTTGTAAGATTTAGTTTCATTCTCAGCTCCAGTTCATTCAAATGAATGAAATGGCTTGAAACCCGTTGTTATGAAACCCTGCATCTACATCTGATTGGCAGCGGGATTTTAACTAAAAAAGCTTTGATCCCCCCGTGGTACACCGCCTGCTGTTTTTCCAAGACCGGGTTTATCTCCTTTACTCGCTAAGTCCCTGTGGGGGCTCGAGCCGTGTATCCGGTGTAACTGACCCACAAAGTCCCAAAATAGAGGCGACGTGGTCGCTGAAGCTACGAGCTGAATTATCTGACATGCAAAGTTCAGATCCAAGTTTAAAACCAGCAGAGAGCTCACGAGGACCGCTGGATGTTTCACGGAAATCCCTCTTTAACCTCAGAGCAACGGCGCTGTACCTAAAGAGGCCTGATTTTGTTTACGAAATAACTTATAGATTTCCATTAAATTAGTCACCTGCAAACTGGACAGTTCAGTGAGTGTAAGACGGCTTCTTCAACTAAAGACCTGCTAACAGGCCTCAGTTATTAGCTATGGAGTCCGGCCGGAGGACTGCCAGTCCCGTCTGAACAGCCCTCTGCTGTCTGAGGAAGCTTTTCAGGTTTAGCGAGAAAATGCAGAAAGGTCAGATTAGATTAGGATGACTGAAACGTTTCCTGGTCAAATGCATTTCAAAAGGTTGATGGGTTTTATTTTTTTAAACTTCAAGTCGTTTCCCCGATGGGCTCATATGTAACCCCGCGTTCCCCCCCCAGCTGTCGGAGCACAGGGAGCTGAGGAGCGTTTTCGCCCTGGGCCACCACCCGCTCTACGAGGAGGCGCTGCAGATGGCCGAAGAGGGCAAGATCACCTGCCGGGTGCTACGGTAACCGTAGCCACTACCTCTGTCGGGGAGGTCCAATTCCCCCGAGGCTCCCCTGTGAAAGCAGAGCCCGGCTGACAGTTCTGTCATCTTATTCCCTGTCAGAACCGAAGCCATGGAGTGTGTGGGCGACCTGGATTTCCTGGCCAAGCTGCACTGCGTGCGTCAGGCCTGTCAGGTACGGTCCACAGCAGCCACGTCCAGAACTAGGAGCCTTGTCCCACCACAGCTCGGTAGTAAGAAAACGTCTCCTCTGCCCTCAGCTCATCTTGTGTGACAGAGCCACCAGGACGTTCCTGGCCGACACGGGACGCAAAATCCTGTCTTCCATCATCGTTAAAGCGCACAAGGTGAGAGCCACGCCACGTCCACCACGAACGCCCAAACCCCACCGGCTGCTGTTTCTCTGCTTGAGTTGTTCTTCGCTCGTTCCCCAGAGCCCAAAGAGATTTGAAGAGGTGTTTGAAGAGATGATTTGCTTCCTGGAGCACACGGAGCACTGGGAGGAAACGGAGATGGAGCTGGCTGCTAGAGGGGTCAGTAACCAGGTCCAGGTCCATGGCTGCAGGTCGTAACCTGGAGGGGAAAAAATATCCTTCCAAAACAAGTTTGGCCCCCTTCCCTTAAATTCAAATCAGTCAAACATGTCAACTTTAGGCACCTCAAAAAATACAGTCTAGTTAAGGCCTATCAGCATCCAGTTCATTGGGACATAATCAGAATCCAGCAGTTCAAGTTTTAAAAAAATTCATTTCTACAGAACCATTTAAAAAAAAAAAAAACCTCCTAACTATGGAAACCAGCAAATTGGCTCCTCCCATCCAGAGCGTGCACAAGCTGACTTCTACTCTAAAAAGCTATCTAGAGGTCGCAGTCAAACCTGCTGTGCTCTGGATGAGAGGCCAGTTAACCCAGAGTGAGCCTCCCGTTTTCATCCTCATCATCCTCTCCGTCATCTTCATCATCCTCTCCAGGTGAGACACCTGAACTTCTACGACATCGTGCTGGACTTCATCCTGATGGACTCCTTCGAGGACCTGGAGAATCCTCCCATCTCCATCCAGAATGTCATCAACAACCGCTGGCTCAACAGCTCCTTCAAGGAGACGGTGAGTGGGGCCGCGGCTGGCCGCTTCCCGTCCAGAAGCCTCACAGTTTAAGACGCTGCGTCCTTTCCCAGGCGGTGGCGTCCAGCTGCTGGTCAGTGCTGAAGCAGAAGAGACAACACATGAAGGTACGCGTGTTGCCGTCCGGCTTTTCTCTGTGAAACGAGCGGGACCCGTTTCCCCTGATATCTTAATCATGTGATGATGGGATGTTTGCGTCTCCTCCAGGTGCCGGACGGCTTCATCGCCCACTTCTACGCCGTGTGTGAGCAGATCAGCCCGGTTCTGGCCTGGGGCTTCCTCGGACCCAAGAGCTCCCTGCAGGACCTTTGCCGCTTCTTCAAGGTAAGAGACCACGTCTGCTTTTTGTCAGACGAGCTGGGTTCATTCGCTCTTATTTTAAACAGCAGTGAATGATCACCAAGTGACTTTTTTTTTTATACATATTTTTATTGTTGTTAGAACAGATGGACAATGTCATACAGGTTGTAATGTTTTACAATTGTTACAGTTCCTTTGGCGACACTGTAAAAAGGATTACACAGCATTTTAACACTTTTGTTTTTAACACATTTTTTAAAACTCAATCCAACTCTAATAATCCCAGACACAGGGATTATTAGAGAAAAGAAAACATTTTTTTACTAGTACTTTACACTGAAGCCTGTTTACTGTTGAGGGGGGAGAGTTGCAAGTTTGACTTAATAACCCATTAAGGGGTCCCTTACTTTGTAGAATTTTTTGGTTGATCCTCTAAGAAAGTATTTAACTTTTTACATTTTACATCATATCAGAAAGCCACACTGATGCCTTCAGTGGCCACTAAGTGACTTTATCAGAATCAGAGATTCAGACAAAAACTGACGATGCCATGCTGCCATCACTCCAGTCAGCTTTGTATTAAAGTGCATACAGTTTTCAGTCCGGCCACTTCCTTTTAGAACTCATGTGTGTGCTCTCTCTGCTCAGGACCAGGTGCTGCACTTCCTGAAGGACATCTTTGACCTGGATAAGGTGCGCTACTCCTCGGTGGAGGCTCTGGCCGAGGACACGCTGCAGCTGCTGCAGCGCCGCTCCGAGCTGCTGCTGGCCTACCTGGGGGCCGACTCCCCGCGGCCCCCTGCCGCCTGCAGCGTCCCGCCGGCGCGCCCCCCCCCCCCCAGCACGCTGCTGGAGGCGCAGTGAGCGCCGCCACGCACCCCCCCCACCACACGCCAGACCAAAAAGAAAAGACTGTGGTCTGCTCTGAGAAAGCTCCCATCGCCCGCTGTGGGTCCAGGTAAACCCCACGGCCTCTGCCTCCATGCACGACCATCACGTCCAACGTGCCCCCCCCCCCTCCTCACAGTGCCATAGCCTCACCACAGAACATCACAGCAGTCATCCAGACGTATTTATTGCAGTTAGGAGTTGTTTGCGTGACACTAAAAGAAGCTATTTGACCGTATTTATTTAATTATAACTCTGACAGATGCAGTTTTTTTTTGTAGCAGTAGGTTTCTCTGTGTTCGTCAGTGGAATTGTGGTAGACTATAATCCGAGAGTGGGCGTCGCCCCCCTTCTGGACTGTGTCCACCTCCCCGTTACGACGCACAAATTGTAGCGGCGTCTGAGTGGAGTACAAAGGGAGGGGGCTAAACGGGGTTAGCTACGTCCCAGAAGGTGGCTTCCTCACACTGGGCCAGCTGCTCTGCCCGCGTTTGGGGAGCCTTCCCCTCTTAAACCTTATGTTTGGGAAGCGGAGCAGAAAGAAGGATCAGCCTCCACCAGAAGCCTTAGCACGAACGCACACATTCGGGCTTCTTTTTGGCCCCCGCCGGTCTGTCCTGGTCCGTTCCCCCGCGTGCAGAAAGATGCTGCAGCGTATTGCCGGCTCACTCAGGCCGGGTAGAAAACGCACCTTAAAAAAAACCCCACAGTGGCGTCTGCTCTGGGTCAAAGGAGAGAATATAGGAGAGCAAAGCTCCTGATGCCCCCCCCGATCAGCTGGGTGCATATCAGACAACCAGTGTTATTTAAGGTGGAAGGTTACAATGTATGTTTAAGGGGTGGACGGATGTGTGCCGGGTCCTTATTATCTTTTAACTTTTTTTATTGAATGAAATAGTTAAATCAATTCGATAAAGAGTACTTCTGCTCAGTTGAAGTCATCTCCAGTTTCTCAACTTAAAACCAGGATTCTGCATGTAATTAATTTGAAATGCTGACTTTTTTTCTTTCTAGTTTGATTCCTGCTTAAATGTAGTGTTTTGTAAAGGGGGGGGTTGAATTAAAGGAAGAGACCAAAAGAAGAGGGTGATGTGCACATTGAAGGGTGTCATTTATGAACACCGACTGTCGACTTTATTTTCTGTATGAATAAAATATAATGAAGCCAGCTTTGTTTCTTTCAAGTTCCAATTATTTCCAAACATTTTACACTTAAATAAGACTCCTTGGGGGGGTGAAAGACACCTTCGATTTGTAACAACTTTATTGATGAACTTGGAAACATTGCAATAGTCAATCCAAAAAACAAGCCAATAGATGTAATATACACAGCACACAAAACCTTGTTTACCTCTAAGGCATGCTCCTTGTTTTGTCCTCTACACCCCCTCGAACTCTGTGTTGAGACAGAGCATCTCACACATACAGACAACCTCAATCAGAATGAAACCCTACTGAAGCTTTTTTTTTGTTTGTTTTTTTACACTGAACCTCCTGATGTGCTGCATGGATCATTGAAGTACATGTGTTCCTGCTCTCATCCAACTTTCTGAAGTTGCTTAAAGTACAGTTATAGATATAGATGAAGGCATTCACAAACAACCATCAGACAGCTCTAAATACACTATGGCATCATGGGTTTATATAGAAAGAGAGACAATCCAGGCTGGCAAAACATGTCTGACCAACACTTTGCAATCAGAAAATTTTAAATTTCATTGCGTTGCTGCTTTACCTTATCACTGGAGCTCTTGAACGGTCTACGCTCAGCAGTGGGATACACTCAAAGGATTCCTCCTTTTGGGGGGGGAAGAGGGGACAAACTACGACACGGCCTGATTCTACCACCTAAGCCTGCGGCATCCTCCAACACTGTGAGCGAGAAGTGAAGGCAGCAGCGTTTCAATAGACTTGCACTGCGCTTGAAGGCAGATTCACACCACGACAGAAAACAGTACTTTTTTAAAAAATTGGGGGGGGGGGGGGGGGACAACAACAAAAATGGTCATGTGTTTCGGCCTTTTCTCCACCTAGCATTTGAGCACATTGCTAACGTCTGGCATGCAGTTTAATTACACCGGAGTCAACCTGAAGCGTCCTCATACAGTCGCTGGCAAACTTACCGGACAGAAAAATCAAAGCCTTTTGGTCAAATGTAAGCAGATACGACAATAACATGTGCACTTACGCAACTTATCTTTGGATGGGGGAGGTGGTGGGGGGGGGGGGAGGGGGTAGGTTTGGGTGGGAAAGTCACTTTGCAAGAGTAATTTTTTAAAAAACAAACAACTTAATGTAACAACCGGTTTAGCTCATCATGCAGTTCATTAATGACAGATCCTACAAAAACAGGGCGGATCGTACGTGGAGATCCTGCACATTTCTGTACTACGGATAGCATAAAAATGCAGTGAGGCATGTTAACAACACAGGTAAGCATTTCTTTGCACTTTTATATGGCTCATGTCACTGGGCAAGATATAAAAAAAACAACACTTTGGTCTCCTTAGGTTTCGCTTACCTGTGTTATGCAGCAGAACCTAAGATGCAAGGTCTGGGACGACACTGCAAAGATCAGATATATTGTACTGTTTGCCATCAGTGAACAATGCAGTTAAATATTGTTCTGACTTTTCTATTTCACAGCCAGTCACAACAATGCTCCGTCAGAGAAAAGTTAAATCAACGATCATCATCATCATCATCATCATCAGAATGAGTTAACTGGGCTAATCAGAAGCACTTCAACTATTAGCATTCCAACATGCTTATATGGGACATGGAAAGAAATCATGGGCAGAGACCTAAGCATGCTACACTGGTAACTGTGCAGTAGATGTCTAAGCAAATTAATGGCATTTTAAGACATGAACTCAGTGGCACTCAGCAGGTCAGGTATTCAGAGAAAAACGCAGAAACCACATCGTTAACACAGTCTCCCACCAGCAGGGCAACCCCTCAGGTCAGAAAAAAACCACTGAAGTGCTACCTACACAATCTAATCACAGTCAGGTCACAAATGAGTCTCAGAAACATGTGGCACAAGAATCAGCAGTCTTCAGATACTAAGCCTCTCAGAACATTTCATACTTACCCAAGATAAAGGGGGGGGGGGGGTGGGGGGGGGGGGGGAATTTGTTTTCACAAAAATACTACATCAAAAAAATGCGTGTGGTCTTAAAGAGTCACAGTTTTGTACTTACATTACAGGAGGGTTCAACTGATGGATGAAGAGGCTGCTTAGCCACCCCCGACCCTACGACATCTACGCTCTTATTTTGGATCAACACTAACAGAATGGGCACAGCAAAGACGACTTTTGCAATGTTTTTATATTAAAAAAACATTTTTAAAAAGACAAAATTTATACACAACTGAAAAACGGGCATGGCAAAATGTTTCAATACATTTTTCTTAAACAGAGTCAATTTTTACCTGACTGTCCTGGAAAAAGAACAGCACAAAAATATATATGTATATATGTATAGAACACTAAAACATTTCTTGAAACCACATTTTCTGAGGAACATGGACAGAGTACCTGCTTACCGCTGCTCTAAACTCGCCTGTGGAGGAGGAAGTGACTATGAAGGCAAAAACAATTTGGTATTTCTTTTTAAAAAAAGTGTACAGGCTCAACAATGTCTGCAAAACCAGGCATAAGCAACAAAAAGACAAAAGGGAGCGCCACAGCAACGCAGTTAATGCATGAGGTGCGATTCACAGGTACCTGTCGGCTTTCTTAAGACAAACGTGTGTCTACCGCTACAGTCAGTAACCTCGGGAACAGGAGTCAAAAGCGCTTTTCCGCTGAACCGCTCCGGATCAGTGCGCGCATGTGTGTCTACGAGCCTCGTGGACAGTTGGAGAGAGACAGGACAGCACAACTTCCAAACCAACCGTTCGGGACAACTCAACCCATACATGGCTTGCATCATTTCAAACTGACACCCCCCGCCCCTAACCCCCCCCCCGCCAGCCCACCCCGGGTACAGCAACAACCACATACAGCCCACCTTCCAACCACCCCAACTTACCAACACAGGAGGTTTCAGTTTGTTTTATTGCAAAAACACAACAGGCAATAGCATTTTTAAAACTGAGATGATTTACATGGTAATGTCTACAGTTTAATAAACATGAGTTCTAACCACATTAAATGTAGATACAGGGCTGGAATGACCATATGTATAATTACCTCACTAAAAACAAAGCATTTACAAGAAAAACCGGGGGGGGGGAAAAAAACAACACAAGATAAACAAGAAGAGAAAAAAAAAAAAAACTTTTTCAAAGAGGACGTGTTCTCCGGGTTATCTGCCATCTATGTGAAACACTTTCAAACCAAGGAAATTTAAGATCTTCATCAAGGCGTCTGCATCCAAACATTTAACAAAGGATTTTGTTTCGACAATGTAGCATTTACTTTATGTCCACTTCACATTACTGGCCCTGTGCAGAAGAAATACATAGAAGATACGTTGCATGTTAACAGCGGAAACAGTGCCTCAGCTTCCCAAAATAAAAGCTAAAAAACAAAAGGCTGTGGGGAGGAAGCAGTGTGGTTAGGTGTGAGGCTGCTCCCGCTCTGGAACCCTGTGGAGTCCTGAGGAGGGAAGCGGGTTAGGATGCAAATAAAGAAAAGAAAAAAAAAAGACGGGCATGTCAATGAATATTGCGGGCGGGTGCTGGGGGGGCGGGTACCGGGGGGGCTGGGGGGGCGGCGCCCATGGCCTGGGGGTTGGCCGAGCCGTAGTAGGCGGCCTGCTGCCGGTAGTACTCCGCCCAGGCCGCGCTGTAGTCCGGCTGACCGCCGGGCTGGGTGGCGGCCGCCGCGGCTGCCGGGGCGGCCTGAGGGGCCGCTTGACCTGGAAGGCGTGGAAAAGGGGGGGGGGGTTATCTAGTGGTA